AGGTATCCTAAATTATTACATTTGTTTAAATATTTTATTCAATTTGACAATCAAATAAGCTTAATGGTAGAGGAGTACAGACAATTTTAGTTCTGTTAAAACAAATTACCGTTAGAGTCTTCTCTTTGATTGTCTTTAAGTTAAAAACAAATTTTGCCTCTCCACCAGGGCCAGACTCCTACACCTCTCCGCCAGGGCCAGCCTCCGACACCTCTCCGCCAAGGCCAGCCTCCTACACCTCTCCGCCAGGGCCAGCCTCCTACACCTCTCCGCAAGGGCCAGCCTCCGACACCTCTCCACCAGGGCTAGCCTCCGATACCTCTCCGCCAAGGCCAGCCTCCAACACCTCTCCGCCAGGACCAGCTTCTGACACCTCTCCGCCAGGGCCAGCTTCCGACACCTCTCCGCCAGGGCCAGTCTCCTACACCTCTCCCCACCAGGGCCAGCTTCCTATACCTCTCCCCGCCAGGGCCAGCCAGCCTCCTACACCTTTCCCCGTCAGGGCCAGCCTCCTACAAAATCAGCTTGAGTCTGACGTTTATCTACAGTCTCACTGTGATGCTTCCTAGGTGTTGTTCTATCTAGTTGTGCTGTTTTTTCTAGTTTCTATCTGTTGTTCCTGATTTTGCTCTGATAATTTACACAGATGTCTACAGTTACTTAAAAATGTGTAGGGTCAGGGGAAATGTACTTTGTGTTTTTATTTGAGAGTATAAAAATGAGAGCAAAAATATCTCATTCTGTAGCATGTTTGTTAAAAGTGCTAGCATTATAGCTCGCAATGTTACACTGGAGGCTGCTTACTGCAAGTTAAAGGCAAAATTTCAACTGAGGTCAGACAGCTTGAGCTTAGGTACTTGACACTCTCTTGTTTCACCCACAATTAAGTCCTCATTATTGTAAGATTAATGATGTGTTTTATTGAATGTGTTTCTGCTCCCTTCCATTATTTGTTGGGCTTATATTGGTAGTGCTGGGGGAATATGAGGGTGACACTTAATGGTGTAAAGCGCCACCTGTTGTTTGCCTCTGACTATGCTTACTTGTGCTGTTCAGCAATGGACATCAGTCAGTCAATCATTCAGTCAGTGACTCAGTGACATTGACTCTCGTAGGTTGGCCCAGCTACAATGTAAAACAGTAATACCATGATGTGGGGCCTCTGAATAACACCTGACCATCTAATGATCAGAAGACGGGGAGCTTAATCTGTGTGTGTGTGTGTGTGTGTGTGTGTAGATGTACTTTTGAACATCAATAGGAAACGGAGCAGACAGATGAACAGAATGAGACTGGAGGAGTAAAAGTGTGTTTGCCACTCTTTGGATATTTTGACATTGTTTACATTTACTTAATAACTCTGGGGGCCTGACAGCTTGGGTCTAGCCAAAAACGTAAACAGTGTGTTTAATCAAGATATTCAGATATAAAAATGGACAGAGAGGGAGGAGGAAAAATGAGAGGGAGAGACAGACAGACAGACAGAGGCAGAGAGAGAGGGAGAGAGAGAGATAGGGAGAAAATGGATGGTTAGAACTGAAAATACTCTCTTTCTCTCCTCATCTCTCTCTCTCCTCATCTCTCTTTCTCTCTTGTTACGTAATATCACTCACAACAGGTCTACATACTACATTAGACAGCTCAGTAAATATTTGGGCAGAAATATTCTGCAATTCAGGCATGAAATATAAATATTTCCACACACATCTGAGGATAGGTGATGATTATTTTACAAATAAAAATAAATAGAAATCACAATTCCCCCTCTTCTGGATATTTTTCCTGTCTTTGCTGCACTCATCTGTTTTTAACTTGCACCCAAACAGTCAGTGTCTGGACACAAACAAGCACAACCAGACTGCAAAAACATGGCCACACACACGCAGCGTACTGTAATAACTGCAATTTTTTTCTCAGGCAGGGTGAATGTGGTATAATATTTACCATTTACCAAACATGGTGTGTGTGTGTGTGGGTGTGTGTGTATGTATGTGTGTGTGTATGTGTGTGTGAGTGTGATTGGTGGACTGCTGGTCTGCAAGAAATAGCAGTATGAGTAGACCTGCGGCCTGTCTCGTGCAGCACTTTCAAACAAGTCAGTTAATTTGTGGTTAACTAATTTTTTGAAAGTTGTTAACAACTTTGTGTTATTTATGCTTTATTGACTCTACAAGGGAAATTTGTCATTTTGCCATCTAACTCTGGGAGCAGTACAGCATCACCAGCAGAGCAGCGGCACTTGGGGCAGCAGGGAGTTAAATTCCTTGGCCAAGGGCAAAAACAGGAACACCTAGCGGATCCTGGGATATGAACCCACAATCTTTCAGCTAGAAGCTGACCTCTCCTACTGCTACGCTATGAGCCACCCACTACTGACAACCTTAACAAACTGAGTGTCTTGCCAACAATCCATTCTGAGAATTTGTCAATGGCTCATGTTAAACATGTTTAAATCTGATGCCAAAGGTATTACAGCTCATGCATGTCCACACTGGCTACAATGCATGTCAGCATGTAGAATCTAAGCTTTCTGTGTGCTACCCTTTTTACCCATTTATAGAAAGGGCCAGTGTGGTTGCAGGTTTTCATTACAGCAAAGCAGGAGCACACATGATCAGTTGCTTGAAGATTGAAACCAACTTATTAAACAGGCAGAATCAGGTGTTGTCCTGCTTGAAAACTGTCCGTTGCACTGACCCTTTACAGATAAGACTGGACACCCCTGAGCTAAGTCGTTAGTGTGCCATTCTTCTTTAAGTATTTTGATTTTACTACCTTGATTTACTACCTTTCATGCTAAAAATAAGTTTCAGAGTAAATTTGGTCAGACACTATATGCACAGAGGGCCATCCATTTTACTGTATTAAACCTTCAGGAGAGTGGAGTTCAATGAGTGTAAAAAACAGCAAGTGGAGTTAGAGAGTGAGTGATGGAGTAATATCTCCAGTGTTATTACTGCTATTATTAACTGGGTGTGTCAAGTTATTATTCACTGTTCTTATTATGTGTATGTCCTTAGGAGACTGTGAGTCAGCTGAAGGAAACTAAACAATTATGTAATGATCTGCAGTTGTAGCAGTAGTACCAAAAACAGACAAACACACTGCTACCAACAGTAACACAAAAGGGGTGGTGACAGCAGACATTACCCTCTTTTTTATGTAGCAGTCCAGCAATGAGGTTGGATTCACAGCGCTCTCCCTCCAGGCTTCCTGCCATAATGAAAAGTAAATATTTTCTAAGTGATCTGGAGGAGATTAAAACTGTAACAATGTGTCCAAGGTCCTCTCCAAACCAAATGACCCAGAGATACTTCACATGGCCTCAGGAGCAAAGCAGCATGTGATGTTTCTCAGGACTGTATGCTGAATCCTGTACACTTTCTTCATATATTATGCATCAGGGTTGTACATTAGGCTCACCATGTGGTGTTACACTGGGCTCTACATTAGACCCTTAACATGGTGTTTGTTCAATGTTGGCTTTACACTGGGCCCTCCATTTGGTGTTTCTCATTGGGCCCTACATATTTGCTTTCTCAGGGCTGTACACTCAGCCCTCCTCACTTCATACATGTTTATTTTAGGTCAGAGGTCTAAATTACGGAGCCCCGGAGGGGACAGAGGTAAAAAAAAATAATAATAATTCGAGAGAATGTTTTGCAGTTCGCACGTTTTCTTTTATTTGTGGCAACGATTTCTTAATTCGTTCTCTCGTTTTCTTTTAATCGTGCATGTTTTATTTTTACCTGAACGCACATCGTTTGTGTTTTGATAACAGCTCCCTGACACTGTTTGACGGGTTTTGATGTGTTAGACTGATGAGATAATGAACAGAGATGCTCATCAGGTTTGATTTTGATTTGGGGGTTGTGAGGACACTGTAGATCCTCTTCACAGCAATGAGATCACTGTAGATCCTCTTCACAGATCCTCTTCACCACGGTGTTTCTGCTCCTGCGTCAAGCTGCGGTGTTAGAGACCCTCACACAATTACAAGACGAAATGATCAGCGTTTCAGCATCTTCACATTAATGTATCTACATCTAATCCATAGATCTATTGAACTCTCTTGCCCTTTGACCTCATCCCACATGCATGTTTCTGTGTGTGTTTAATTTGAGTTTGTTGAAACGTTGACGCTGATCATTTCTTCCTGTAATTGTGTGATGGTCTCTAACACCGCAGCTTGTCGCGGGAGCAGAAGCAGCTATATCTCTGTTAAATACGATCATTAGAAAGTGAAGTTTAGTGAAGATTGTGGTTGTAGTTTATTGTCTTCCTTCATTTCACCACCAAACTGCAGCTGCACTGATGAATCTGTGGGCCGGTCGCTGTGACGAGGAGCTGCAGTTTCCTCATAACCCCCAAATCAAAATCAGTCCTGATGAGCATCTCTGTTCATTATCTTATCAATCTAACTCATCAAAACCCGTCAGACAGTCTCAGGGAGCTGTTAGTTACTTATGCACAGGACAAATAACACGACCTGTATCTACTACATTTATTTTTGCGCACGAATAATAAAAAAAAATAAACAACGTGCTTTCAGTTAAAAATAAAGCATGACAACCATTAAAAGAAAATGAGAGAACGAATTAGAAAATCGTGATCACGAATAAAAAAAGTACCCACGAAGTACAGAAAACGTGCGCACGTTTAAAAGAAAACGAGGGAACGATTTAAGAAATAGTGACCAGGAATAAAAGAAAACGTGCACTGTATTCCCTGATAGTATTGTAGACTAAAATTAATCTATCTGTAATCAAAACTGCAAAATATTTCAATCAGCTTAAAATATTCAAGTCCATACAACAAATTCGCCAGTTTTAATTTCAGTAGGCTCACATTTTTCAAGTAAAACCAGCCACTAAACGCAATATTATTAATTTTATTTTTACGAAGCGTCTGACGTATGACGCTCCTCTTTTGCGATTGGCTAATGCCATGTAATTTGCATACTGTGAATTTTCAGCAAACATGGCGGACGCTACTGCAGGCGCAGGAAAAAATCTTAATAGTTTAATATAACGCTGCACTCTAACCCTAACCCTCTCTAAACCTTCATTCTTCATAAATTCATTCTGTTTTTTAAAAGATCTACGTAGATTACAATAAGGGACACGGTTGTGTTTCTAAGGAACCGTTTTGAATTGCGCGCGCTTTTTTGAACTGCTGTCCGCGCGCGTAATTAACAGTCAGACCTGTGAGAGACGGAGGAGATGGAGAACTTGCAGAGTGTGCTGCTGCAACTGGATTATCTTAATTCCACACAACTACTCTTTATTCTGCTTGCTGTGGCTGCTCTTCTGCTGCCTAGAACCTTCATTTGGTAAGTTTGGTTTCAGTTCATTTTCAAAGCAAATACAATGCTGCTGTAGTTATTAGCATGAGTGCAGTTAAGTGTTGTTGGTGCTAGCTGCTAGGTTAACGTTTTCAAGAGGAGGGCAGAGTTTATTTTATCCACACGTTCATTTACAGCCTATAAAGAGCAACTTCACGGTAATTTGAACTTTTTCTTAACTTTACTGAACGTGAGCACGTTAGGGGTGTGAAACAGTTTCCTAGATTAGAGGGATTTGAGAGTATTAAGTAAAGCTTTGGCTGTGCTTAAATGTGAATTTCCACTCTGCAATAATAGTGAATGTCGGCAAAATAGAACAAGATGTTTAGAAAAGGTAGCTAATTTACTGTCTAAAAACACTAGCGCGAGGGAAGTGTTATGGAATCCAAACTTTAAACCTTTGGTGCATTGTGTTGAACTTAAACTTGAATTACAGCATGTATTTTATGTAACAGTATTTTTTTATTATTATTATTATTATTACCTTGCAGGCTTAAGTTATTGGTGATAAGAGCAGAGATGATCTGAATACAGTTCATAGATGCATTTTTATTTTTTATTAATTGCAAACAATATTGTGATGCTCAGGCAGTGACTGTTGTGTGATTATCATCATAGATCATATTTGCATTGTCAAAAAGTGATTGATTTGTATTTTTGTGTGCATGAATAGGATGCTACACTGAAGACAGAACATGTGGTCAGTTCCTAAAAGAGCACTGCATAGGTAAGTCTTGATTTATGTAAATGCCCTTTTCCAATTAGAAAAAATTCCCTTCACTCCTTTCTGAAGACAACTTTAGACAGTGTTGTTAAGGCTATGTTTAGTAACTGAAGGTGTTTTGGAAATGCTTTTGTCATAAATATCCCATACCTGCCATACATTTTTAAAAGTTGGCTTGTACTTGTACATATTGATTGACTAATGGATTGGAAATGCAGGTTGTGCAATAATGCCTCCTCTGATACTCGTGCACAGTTACTTGGGCATTATTGTTTGCAACATAGACATTTTTCAAAAGTCAGTCCTTTCCCGTGTCTTTATGAAACATGTATTTGCACATTTCGATCATTCAATGCACTTAAAATTCATGTGTCAAGGTTTCTCAAAGAGACAGAAAAAGTAGGGGCAAATCAAGGGAGACAAAGAGTGCAGGTGGTGTATAAATGTTGTTTGTGTGGGTGTAAGCAACCTTTTTCTGAGAAGACACTTTTTGCACATTTAAGAGGGCATTTAAGAACCCATAAAATGGTAGCATGTCCATATAAGAATTGTGCTTATAGTACTAATGTGTACTCATCCTTTAATGCTCACAAAAGCAGAATACATGGTTCCTGTGCTGGTGCAGAATTCTTTAATGATGTCTATGCTGATGAAGACACTCTAGGCCTAAATGCTGCTGAATCTTTCGATGAGAATGTAGACCTGTGTGAGGGTTTGAGTCAACCTGAGAATGAAAACTCAGATGTTGACAATGGGCAGTGTGACACCAACCAATTAACTGTGCATTTACGTCACAATTTAGCTTCTCTTTTTTTTTTAAGGATGCAGGCTATTCTTCATGTTTCTGATCTAGCAGCACAGATAGGAGTGGAGCATTTGAGACAAATCTTTCTGTTGTCTAGACCTCTTCTGAAACAGAATATAAGTGAGGTGTTACAGAAACATTGCACTACTGTAATTGATGCAGTTCTTGATGAGGTTGTTAGTGTTGTCCTAAACAGTAATATTTTTGTCAGTGCAACAACTGCAGGTGGAGAATTATCCTCCAATAAGAGAAGAAAATCATTTACAGAAAGAAACTATCCTGTGGTCATGCCTTTTCGGTATATCATAGAGACTGGACACACTACAGTGTATGTCCCTATACTTCCAATGATTCAGGAGCTGTTCAGGCATACTGATGTACATGATAAAATTCAAGAAGCATGCTGTTCTCAGCCCGACCATTACACAAGTCATCGAGATGGTTTGTACTTTCGAGAAAATGAGTTGCTGTCAACATCACGTGAGCTAAAAATGCTGTTGATTTTATATATCGACGAGATAGAAGTAGCAAATCCTTTAGGTACTTCAAGGAAAATACACCAACTTCTGTCAGTGTACTGGGTTCTTGCTGACTTGCCAAGCAAATATCGGTCTGCTTTGCATGTAATACAGCTGGCAGTGTTATGTAAAGTACCCGATCTTCAGAGTTTTGGTTATGAAAGAGTCCTTGGTCCTTTGGTGCAAGACATTAGAACACTGGAACAGGAGGGTGTGTTTATTGAGTCTCTTGGTCAGTCTGTCCAAGGCACTGTCCTTTGTGTTGCTGCAGATAATCTAGCAGCTCATGGATTAGCAGGCTTTGTCCAGTCTTTCAGATCAGAATATGTGTGCAGGTTCTGCCTGGCTAGTCGAGACTTGTTTCAGTCTCAGAAAGTTTCTGAAGGTAATTTTGTTTTAAGAACCAAAGCAAGTCATGACCTGAATGTCCAAAACGTCACACAGGGAGAAGGTGACAATCAATTTGGCGTGACTGGAGACTGTTTGTTAAGACAAAGGTTGAAGCATTTTCATCCCATCACTGGTTTCCCTCCTGATATTCTTCATGACCTACTCGAGGGGATTGTGCCAGTAGAGTTGGCTTTATGTATTCAGGAAATGATTCGTCTTAAGCATTTCACTCTTGACTATTTGAATCAAAGAATTGTGCCATTTCCATATCAACATACAGACAGAGTTAATAAACCAAAGTCAATTGTGAAAACGTATGCTTCGAAAATGACAATAGGAGGCAACGGGCATGAAAATGCTGCATTACTGAGGCTACTTCCGTTAATAGTAGGCAGCGTAATTCCAGAGGGCGATGGTGCCTGGGCAGTGTTAATGGAATTAAAAGACATTGTGGAGCTAGTGTTGTCCCCAACACTTACTGAAGAAACAATTCAGTATTTACAGACTAAAATTAGGGACCACAGACCGATGCTTCTTGAAGTGTTCCCCCAGTTTAGGCTCAGGCCAAAACATCATTACATCAAACATTACCCAGAATTGATCAGATGTTTTGGTCCTCTGGTTCACTTATGGACCATGCGATTTGAGGGAAAACACCGTTTTTTTAAGCGGGTTGTACATGACACTAAAAAACTTCAAAAATGTGCTCAAGACACTAGCTGTCAGACACCAGTATATGATGGCTTACCATCTTAGCGCACCAGTATTTTTTAGACCACATCAGCAAGCATCAGTTATGACTTCTGTATTGGTTTCGACATTACCTGAAGTGGCAAAGCATTACATTCAACAAAAGACAGAGAGCAATTCTATATACAGGACATCACAAGTTACCATTGATGGTACTGATGTTTGTGCTGGGATGTTTGTTTCTGCAGGTGTAGAAGCGGGATTGCCTCAGTTTAGTAAGATTGAAGATATCCTACTTGAAAATAATAATGTGGCCTTTCTCTGCAGACAGCACAAGTCTAATTATGTGGAACATCTAAGGGCGTATAACCTGATTCCAGGCGAACTGACTGTTTGCACTGTGTCAGACTTGAATGACATATGTCCTCTTTCTGCTTATAGCATAGGAGGCCAGTTACTGTTGACCCCAAAGAGATTTCTACTGATACATTGACAAGGTATGTCTTCCTCTACTTGAACTTGAAACTGAACCTTTTTTATTTATTATATGAGAAGAGCAATCATTCACACAAGAACAAGGTAATATTCAATTCATTAAATATTTTAGAATGTGTGGAATATGTACATTAGCTAAAGTAGATAGTCATAGTAAAATATTTAATTTTCTTTGTTTTCATTAGATGGCGGAGTCTGACAGATTGTTATTAAGAGTCTTCATAGCCACAGATATTGCTCACAAGATGTTGCTTCCAACACGCCCCACATCAGTGCAAGAGCTAATCACCATAATGCGAGAGAAATTTAAACCTCATCTTGATTTTGACTTCAACTTACAATATGAAGACCCTGACTTTGGAGGACAGCTCTGCGTTCTTTCAGACATTACAGAACTGCCACAAAAGGCTGTAGTGAAGGCTTTCGGATCAGAGAGTGTTACTAGCTCAACTGGAACTTCAGGCACAGAATTACTGCCCCATGCCCTGGCACGTGTGCAGACCTGGCCTGATGTATTTCCTATACCTCTCTTTTCCTATGATGTTGAGTACGTCCTTGAAGCTGGCAATACAGCATATCAGAATACTGGGAAGACTTTGAAATTAACAAGAGCACAAAAGCATGACATCTTGGAAAATATGGACAAAACTATGCACACTTTCAAGGCGTACCCTAGTGATAAACAAATGGCTAAAGCTGCAGAAGCTCTTGTTACCAAGCACCCCTGCCTTACAGAGCCAGGAAGTCACTGTGGCTGGTATGGCTAGAAAACAAGTTTAAAATTCAAGATGGGTAACTACCGGACCAAGCTGAGCAGATCTGGATGTGATGAGGTGGCTGTAAACTCAGGGAAGAGGAGCCGAAGTAACCCAGAGAGAGAGTCACCCCACTGCAACATCAAAAGAGCTCGTAGAGCTGAGGTGAACTATCTACCAAATTTCCCAAGAAGAGAGGACGCCTTGAGCCTGGAATGACTAAGAGTGCAAATAGCTGATGAAATATCAAAGACAGACAGAAATCTACAGAGGATAGAGAGATTAATGCAAACTACATATGCATTGCGTCGTAAGCAGTTCATTGTCGACAACCCATCACAACCAGTCAAGGATTTTCTACAGAATTGGCCTGCCCTTCGACTGGAGTCACAGGTGAATTCTTTCTTAACCTTCTCCCATGTGCTCCCATTGTTTTCAGTGTTTTCTCTGTGTCATTTTTAAAAAGTAATGTTATCATTGTAAAAACGTTTAAGTTAAAGGTAATCTAAATTGAAAATCTCTGTGTTTTTGTACGTCTAGATTTGTGCAGAATTCCACAGGATCACAAATATGAACTCGCAAAGCAAGTTCTATGCAGAGCTAGACAAGCATTCACCACGACTGTTGGCTGTCTTTAGGCAGAAGGCTGCACGTACTGGCAAGGCGGCTGAGGCTATGAGGAGCATCTTTACTGCCTTTGACGTACTGGTATGAGAGATCACCTTTTTGTATTTTAACATAAATATTGCCCAGCTAATTTCCTTAATTTCCTTTGTTTTTCTTTTGCTTCTGCTGCTGCTTTTTCTGTTTCTACCTCTCCTTATCTGCTGTTGTTCGATTATGTTTCTTCTGCTGCTGCTTCTCTGCTTCTGCTGTAGGTGCTTATTCTTGTGTATCTGCTTCTTTCTATTCCTTTCTGTCCCTTATCTAATTTTGCTTGTGACTCATTACAGGAGCAATGTGATGTTAACCACCGACATACTGCTGCACTTCGAGTCCTCCCAGTGTATCTTCGTGAAGATGACTCTAGGTTTTTGTAGGACTTGGAATGTAAGTTGCCAAATATGTTTTTTTGTGTTTACCATATATTTTTTTCCATTTGCACACAAAACTTAAAAGACAATGAGAAATGTTTCTTAAAACAATAATTACAAAGTTTTGGTGCCGTGTCACTTTGTGCCCTTTCCTGTCCAAACAGCATTAAAAAAAAAATCAACTTAATGTTTCACAATTAAAACGAATCAAATTGCATCCTAAATAGTTGAAAAAACTTCACCAATGCCACAGTGTCTGGGATACTTGTACTAGTTGTTTGTTGGAAAGAGAGTGAAAGGTGACAGAATGATGGAAAGAAATACTGCACAGGATGTTTATAGTGTATATGTGTATGCAATTTTTTCAGCCAGAACAAGAGGATAAGCCGGACATCGCAGACCTGGCAGTAGCTCCTTTAAGCGTGGTAAATGAAGACCCAAGTTCCCTTGTTCAGTTCAGTCCTGTCAGGATTGCCATTGTGCTGGAAGGTGACATTGTTCTGAATGAGGGGCCTAATTTGGCTGATGCTTTCCTCATGATGTTTGGTTTAATGTATGCACTACACCTTGACTATCCAAAAGAACTGACCCACACATTCAACTTCATCCAGAAAGTCCTCATGGGCTTAGATGACTTCAAACCACTATCACCCAGGTTACTGAATCTAAAAAATGATCTGCTGGTGAAGGTGTAAATTGGCAAGCAGTATGCTGCTTCTAGATGGGACTGGTTGCATTTTTATTTTTTCCTCTCCCTTTCCTACCCCTCCAATGTTTACTCAGCTAATGTTTGGTTTTTGCATTTATGGGAAGTTAGTTACCTAAAGTATTAATGTGAATGGATTGTGGGTAGGTACTGTGCCATGATCCAGATTCTAACAATGGGGAATTTGATTATTTTCATCTGTCAGAGTTCATTCTCTTTTATTCAGTGAATCTATATGATGACATTAGAAATGATAAATTCAAAGTAACAATACTGAAGTTAACTTTTTGTAGCAGTTACATTCAGGCAACTTCAGCTTCCTAAAGTATGGATCGGTGGAAGTAAATATTCAGTTAATTAAATCATAAAATCATAAATAATTTAAATTTGTTAAATAAACTTCAAAAGAAAAAGGTATGGTTCTGTAAAAAAGTATTATACTCCCCCTCACAACCAGCTCCTGCCTATTTTGTTGACTTTACGTATTACAGTGTTCTACTGCTCATTAAACTTGTTTTTGAGATGTGCAGTTTTTGTAGATTATAGTACTATTTTTAAATGCACAGTACATTCCAAATAAATAATACAAGTTGCATATAATTTTCTGATAAATGTGTAAAATCTAAGCTATTCAAAGTGTTTTGTTATTGTTAAACTGGTACAGAAACATGTACACAGAATTTTACTTGAGCACCAAAGCACCTTTTTTGTGCTTGTGTAAAGAGGTTTTCCCCCTCTTTTTGCAGGTTTTGCACTTTTCTTTCTTGTGTTTAAAACATTAAAATGTGTGCTTTCTATTGATGTATTTTAACTTCAGTGAAAGGTTTTACTGCGCCTCATTGAAAGCTTGTTTGAAAATACATTTACATTGAAAATGCTTCTTGAAAATAAATTTTTGTTTAATGGGTACAGTAAATGTACACGGTTTTACAAGCTTGTATCCTGTTAGAGAATTATGGACATGTTCTAGAATGGTTACAATAAAATGCTAATTTTGACAGATTTCTGTTTCTTTGTGATTTTTTTAAGTTTTGTGATGGTATATGTTTGAGTTATGTTAATTAATTACCTCAAAGTAATTAAGTATCCTTAAATGTTTTAAGTCAGGTATTAGACTCATTTTAGTACTTGCTGGTCAAAATATTTTGAAAATATATTAATTAAGACATTTTTTTTAATGTGTACCCAATATTTTAAATTGAGTATATCAGACTTAAAAGTTCGCAATGTTTTGAGTTATGTTAAATTTAATTAATGTAGTTACGAAAACATTAAAAGATTAAGTACACTGTATACAATTTTTTTAACGCCAAATGAAATTAAATCAATATAGTTAAGAGAACATTTAAATTTTAAGTATAGTGTAATCAGGTTTATAAAATTTGGTATACATAAAATATTTAAGTTTTGTTCACTTTAAAGAATAGAGTTTGTCCACTCGGGTTTACAGTGTGCGTACGAACTGCAAAACGTTCTCTCGAATTAATTTTTTTTTTTTACCTCCGTCCCCTCCGGGTCTCCGTACTAAACAGAAAAATGAAATGTGTAAGTCTCATTTTTTCAAACACGTTATATTCTCTGGGAAATCTGGAAATCTCATCTGCAAACCTATGTTTCATTATATCAATAAAGTGATTGCTCACACATTATTTTAACAGTATCCTGTAGATGTCTTATTGCTGACAAAATTCAGCTGATTATAAACAGTATTAGGGTTAAGTTTATGAGTACAATTAGGCTTTGGTTAAAAATTTAGGGTTAGGTTTATGTTAAAGGTTAGATTTAGTAGAATCTATTATATTCAACTTAACATTCAGCTGCATTTAATAGATATTTAGATGAACGTTAAAGACAAGATTCTACAAATGTTAGTAAGTTATTATATTATTGTCACACCTTCTTCCTCGTTCTTATGCTCAGTGCCACTGGTGTACTAACCACCAGCTCTGCCTTTGCTTGCTGACCACACACATATCTGTATCATTTCACGCCACCACATATACAGTGCTGTAAAAAAGTATTCGCCTCCTCCTGATTTCCTCTATTTTTGGGGTATTTTTCACATACACAAAGTTGCTTCAGATCTTCATACAAAGTGTACATTTACATTAATCCAAAAGGCTTGTGGTCATTAAGGTGTTTTATGGCAAATGTGAGACAAGCCTTTTTTGCTCTTCTTGGTTATCAGAGGTTTTTGCCTTAAAGCTCTCCTATGAATATTATTTTTGCCTAGTTCCTTTCTAACGCTGGAGTGATGAATGCTGACCTTTTTTGAGGGGTGTGAGGCCTGCAGTTCATTAGATGTTCCTCTGGGTTCTTTCTTGACTTCCTAGTTAAGTCATTGCTGGGCTCTTGGAGGAATTTTGGTATGCAAGTGAGTTCTTCTTTCCGGTTTTCTCTATTTGGAGATAATGGCTCTCACTGTGGTTTGCTGGAGTTCCAGAGCCTTAAAAATAACTTTTTAACCTTTTCCAGACTGGTATATTTCACCAACTTTCTTTTTTTCATCGCTTCCAAAATTTCTTTTGATTGCAGCATAGTGTGCTGCTTGTTGAGACCTATTAGAAAGGGTCCAGGTTTAACAGGACTGACAATAATCAAGCCTGGGCATATCTAATTTAGTTGATCTTAATTATCAACTAAATTTGATCAATTGGGTAACTAAGGGGTAATTACTTTTTCACATAAGGTCTGTTGGTTTGGATAACTTTTTTCCTTCAATGAATGAAGTGGTCAATTAAAAACTGTATTTTGTGTTTACTGAAGTTGCCTTTGTCTTATATTTAACATCCACAATTAAGTGTGACAATTATGGAAAATTTGAAGAAATTAGGAGGGGCAAGTACTTTTTCACAACACTAGGTTCCCAAAGTCACCTTGGACACTGCAAAGTCTCTAGCTCCAGTAGTGCCTTCCTGCAGGTCTTTTGTTGTCACATGAGGTTATGCTTTGCCTTTCTGGCCGGCATATAAGCAGTTCTGAGAATTTTCTTGGTGTTCCAGATCTTGCCTTGACTTCCATAGTTCCCCTTAACCCATTACCTGTTTGACATTTAGGACAGTGATAACTGTGAGCTGGAAGTGCTTTGAAATGTTTTAGCCCTAATTGTTGCCTGTCTGATGTGCAGGCAACAACTAGTTTAATTTTCAAATCCTCAGCCATCTGCTTAGAGGAGCCCATGGCTGGTCAACGTTAACACAAAATATGAAGAGTCTGAGAATTTACATGCTCTGGAATTGTCATCAACTGACAACTGACAGTGTTTGCCCTGCCTAACCAGTTATGAAAAGTAAATCAAGGCCTAACAAATTAAGTGTCTAGGTGCAACAACAGCTAAGCCACAAAGTAGCAGACCATGCAAATACAAAGAGCAGGGAAGTGTGTGAAAAGTAAATTAAGGCCTAACAAATTAAGTGTCTAGGTGCAACAACAGCTAAGCCACAAAGTAGCAGACCATGCAAATGCAAAGAGCAGGGAAGTGTGTAACATGTAATAATTGCCTTTCGTTGGCTGGAGTTGTGTAAAGCATGCCACTGCTGGACTGTGGAGCAGTGGAAGCGTTCTCTGGAGTGATGAATCATCCGTCTCTACTAACATAGAACAATGTTGGTGAGCAATGTAGTTGCGCCACTGTTACAAACAAGCTGTTATCTTGCACAGAAGATAATAAAAAATGTAATTATTTTAAGAGATTCACAGGGATTTTCAAAATAGGGTCGTAGTTTAGAATAGATGCCTCTGTAAAACAGCAGTTTCTGAATCCTGGATCTTGAGAACCTTGCTTTGCAGTTTTCCTTGCTCTAACAAACCAAGGTCAACAGGCTCAGATTTGATCTGGTCAGTTGTGTTGTGTTAACATACGCTGGCATAAAAATAACCCCTAAAATTGTAGTGCATGGAACTCATAGTTCAGGGTTCATCTTCCTAGTAGATTGACATAAGTGTTGCTTGCTTTCTAGCACCAGGTGAAATGAAGATATTCCAAGGAAAACAGTGATCTCAGAAAAAAACAAAACAACAAAGTTTCTCATATTACGTTCAACAAGCAGGACAGAGGCAGAACGTTTGCAAAACAAAATTCATGTCAGTGTTTCAGCTGACTAACAGCTGCTTACAGGTTTGTTATACTGTATAATCATTACACTGTTGATGTTTTAACTCTCCAATTAGTAACAATAGAAAAAATTGTAACTATTACATACATATTGTTTTTTTGGGTAGGTTATTTAGGAAAATTTGTGCAAAGCTTCTTGTGAGTTAAGCCAAATGAAGGACATAAGTCCGAGCAGGGTTCTGGGGTGTTTTCACACCTGAAAGTCTAGACCAAGGTTCATGTTTTTGTTACACTGAATACATTTAATCCAGTTAGTTTTGGTTTCACATAGCAATTTTGTAAGCACACTCAGAGAGTACAGAAGCCCGGTGTAAGTTCTTTGGTGCACTGAAGAACTTTGGAAGACAAACCAACATCCTGTTGTCATCACTTACTTGAGCTTTGTCTCCCTGTACTTGACATTGATTGGTTTGTAGAAGAGCAAGCATCTGATGTTGGCGATGTTGAGTGTGTGTGGGTGTGTTTGTGTGTAATGTGTCTGTGTCTTCTCATCACTCATCCAAACCTCTTCACATTCCTTAATCTTCCTACTGCAGAAATCCACCCCCTCATCTGAGTGTGTACGTGTGAAATGTAAACTGTTTGGGTTACACTAAGGACAAAGCTGATGATTGAGTGTGGGTGGAGAGTGTCGGTAAGGTCAGTTCAGGATATATCATAAGTATGAGGGTCTGTGTATGAGAAAGAGAGAGAGAGAGAGAGAGAGAGAGAGAGAGAGAGAATCTAATTCCACAGGTTGACTGGGTTCTGCTGAATTTGTGTGTGTGTGCCAAAGCTAACAAACACTATGAGTACAGCCAGCACCATTCAGTCTGTTCAGCACGTTAAAACTCACACACGCATACTCACTCTCACATACACTCGCACACACACATTACAGAGTAGAAAAATATGCATTTTGAAAAAGATGCACATTCCTAATGTTATACATAACCTCAGAAACACAAAACAGTCTGTGAAAATAACTCTCAACGGGTCTGATCTGTGTGTGTGTTTGTGTGTTTGTGTGTGTGAGTCTGTGTGTTTGCATGCGTGTGTTGCTTTCCACTTTTCTCTTTTTTCATCTTTAGGTCTTTTATGTATTCTAAATCCATTTTGCAGTGCAGCAATGAAGCCACAAACTGTCAGACATAGAACTGGTCACTCACACGGGTTACACACACACACACACACACACACACACAAAATGCAATGTCAAGGCACCTTCTTTTATCTTCTTTTTATGGTGCCATATTATATGTGAAATTATTGTTGATATTTCTGTCAGATTTGCATGGGTTTTTTGTGCACAGTCATGGGCATCCTTCTCTCCACTGCCCTTTAAAATAAAAAAAAAATCCCCAAAAAGTTGGAATGGTATGTA